GGTGGTGATCATGGGCGATGGTGGTGGTGACGAAGGCGGCGGGATGTTGTGGACGACAATGGGTAGCAGGGGTTTGGTTTTGGATAGGAGTAGAGGTGGGTTTGGATGGGGATGAGATATGGGTGGAAGATGATGATGGTTTTTTATTTAATTATTTTAATTACTTCTATATGGAAAGAGAGAGTTACAATCATAAATAATTAATAGGTCAAAATCATTTGCTTGGTCAATTATTGAAAAAGTGGATGGATTCCTAGAATTTATACCTTTGGATTTGTGAAATTTTTAATGATAAGTAGAGAAGGAAATGCACGATCATGCAGCAGAAGATGAAGTGGTGGACAGATTTGAAGCAGCCAGTGAGAAAACGGGTGTGAATGAAGAAAAGATGAATGATAAATCAAGAAATGATGAAAATCCGAAAACAGAAAAAGTTCGCAGAATTGTCATTTAGGTAGTGAAAAAACTTCATTTGATTCCTCAGAACTGATTTAACGTGGTTGTGATTGCAAAGGAGAATTGGGGCTTTTACATAGAAATTGTGCAGAGACCAGGTTTGGCTAGAGAGATCTCAGGTACAGTTCATGATATTTGACGTCTACGTTTCCCACATGAAAATTACTTTTTTTTTTTTTTTAAATGGGTTTTAGATCAATAATAATCTAATGGACAATAAGAGGATTTTGATTAAAATAGAAGCTTTTTAGTTTCTGTCTGGAGTTTCTACTTTCCAGACAGCTCCTTAAATGAGAGGTAGAAAATGGCCCAGGCTTGGTTGGTACGGCTTTACACGACATGGAACTCATTTGCACGGGGCTATTTCGTACCTTGATAACAAGGCTTTACAGGGTTTCAGGGCCTTTTTTTATTTTTTATAATTATATTTTCAAGGAAATCAATAAAAAGAAAAATGAAAAAAAAAGGGGGGTTTTCGACGACAGAAAAACACAGGCCATTCTAATAAGACAGCTTTATAATTGTCCCATTTTAAGGTAATGTCATTCACAACAGTAACAAAAATTTGTGCTGGAAACAGGTCATGGATTGCCTATGTGTGGGTGACCCAACCTGCAAGAGTGGATTAGGAGAAAAAGCAATGCTATTTATGGTGAGCGACTATAGTATTCGCCCTACGTGACATCCCATGCGACAGCTTGTTATTTGATGCATTAATGTGACAGTTTTTATGGACTCAAATAACAAATCAATCCTCAAATAACAAGATGTCACGTAGGGCAACTATTGTAGTCGCTCATTACAAATAGCATTACTCTAGCGGAAATTGTTTAAAGTTGTAATTCCAACGTGTAACTTTCCTTAATCTTCCTCAACTCCCTATAACTCTCCATAACGTGTTTTGTACAAGAGGGAAAGATGGGATGATAAAAAAATGGTGAAAATTCGTCTATAAAAATGCACAATAAATTCAAAGGGCCTATAACAATAGTTTTGGCTAGAAAACTCAAAAATCTTGACCCTTAGATTGTGGATAATGGTTTTCATCCATTGTGCTCAAGATTTAGACTATTTGAGTGTGTTCATTTGATGATTTTGGAGCATGAGAATGTAAGTGATTCAGCCATGAAGATCTTGAGAATTCCTTCTTTACAAGTAAGATTTTATGAATTGAAACTAAGTTGTGGCAAGCTGCAAATTCTTTAAACATGTGGAACACCTGAATAAAGTTATGAAAGGACAACAAAAGTGTAATCAATTCTTTTCTTACCACCCATGTAGTATTTAAGATGGTAAATAAGTAATTCCACATTACTTCTTATGACTAAGCAGCATTGATGAATAACATTACTCAAGTATAAAAGTTCCACATGTCTGCTTTATTATTAAAAAATTAAAATTGCTAGTGCGGGCGCGTTGAAGCTATAAGATATACATGAGTGTTATATGTCCAATCGCTAAAAATTTAATCTATAAATAATGTGTTTCAAGACTTGATTTATCTAAACATACCGTGCTTTGCAGATTGTGTTAAATATGTGGAAACATAGTGAACATAACCAGCAGTTTGGAGAACACCTCAATATTCATGATGGAGAGAAATGAGATGAGACTCTGGTAGCAGCAACTTTAGACACTTCTCGAGAAAGTTCTTGCCAATGTAAGAAGACTTTATGCAACTTTCTAATGACATGCTTGGTACTAGCCTTTATCTTGCCATGGTTCTTTCGTGATGTTATTCTGTAGAGGAGCACTGCATTTGATGTTGTGGTTGGTGGGGGAGTCATTGGTTGATCTTTATAATAACTCACAAAAGATACCAGGACGAGTTCTTTAAGGTTTCATATTCAACACTGTAGTAATTTTTGTATATACAGATATTGCTTCTATAAGAATTGTGATCCAGAATAAATTGAGAATGGTGTCAACTGAATCACATATGAGCATCCCAATTCAGAGCAATATTCAAGGACAAAAACTAAGGGGCTATTCTCTTCGTGTTTGAGTTTTTGGTTTTGAGTTTTGAATTCATTTTGAGTTTTGTGTTTTGAGCGTGTATTTTGAAATTGTTGAAAATATGTTCTTTTTTGTAATTCTCAAAAAATGTTTCTCAAAATGCAAAATTCAAAACGCGTTCTCTTTTTCTTATTCCTTCTCTTTTCTCTGGCCGCATTCTTCTACCTCAAACCGACCACCACCATGAGCTACCGCCTTCTACCTTACAAATCGACCACCACCCACCACCTAAACCACCATATCCCTACATCACTCGAACCCCTCACCTCCCTCTACAACGTTCGATGACTATTTGACCAAGAACTGCCAGAAACAAGGCGCAACAACTGCGCTACCACTCACAGTTTCGACCCTATTAACACCGTCGTTCATGAGTTTTGAAGCCATGGATGGAGTCGTCAGGGGATGGGCAATCGACCGGTGGTAGTGCACGACCATGGGTCGATCGGGCGGCGCCGGAATCTACGACATTGGATTTTGCTGGACGGGCTTTGTGACGGCAAAAGTTTCTGGGTTTAATTGAGATTGATGAATTGATGTTTGTCGGAAATTGGGGCCATGGTTGGGGTCGATTTGTGGTGGGCAATCGATCGGTGGTGCGCAACCTTGGGTGTCGTCGAAGGTTGAGATTCCGACAGAAGCAGTTTGCTCCATATTAGTTTTTGAGGATGATTTTTCATCGATTTTGGTATATGTTTTGGTTGTTGTTTGTGTGGTAATTGAAGAGGGGATTGAGGGCTTCACAATGGTATAAAAGTCCGATGGTTTTGGAAGAGTTTGGCCGGAGTTGAGAGGGTTGGAAAGTGGCGATTTTGGAAGTTTTGGAGGAGGTTGGCAGAAGAATGATGGGGAAATGTTTTGACAGTGATTTACTTGAAAACAGTGTTTCCCGTGTTTTGGCATTTTTGGCAGAGTTTGGCTTGAAAACACTCAAAACGACATTTTTCTCATTTTGAGTTTTCTTCACAATTTTTCTACTTGTTTTTGAAAACAGGAAAGAAAACGTGTTCTCACAATTTTGGAAAATTGAAAATAGAAAACGGCCCGAAAACGGCAAAGAGAACACCCCCTAACTTTTTCATTGGGAACCAAGCATGACGAATTTTTTCTCGAATCTAAGTAGTGCATATTATTTTTCTTTTTTACTTTCCTATCCTCGAAGTACTTTTCTCATTGCCAAAATGTTACGGTCCCCTTCTGAGACAATTGCCTTAGATAATTGCGAACATTTACAGATCACTTGATATGTACATTTTTGTTTTGAATCGACCATGTTTGAAGATCCTACATGGAGAAGTTATATTGATTCTACATGCAGAAGTTGAATGCTTAGAAGAAGCCATATCCATCACTCAAGAATTTGTGAAGAAACTTTCATGATTTGTGTCGACGAAAGAAACTCAGAAAGTATAAGATCTTTTAACTGGAGTAGCAAAAATAATCGACTGAATTATGCGCAAGTCTAATTAGTAAATATTTTGTTGAATCTTGGTACTAAATTACCTTTGTCAAGGGCAAATGAAGGGGATATGATCTTAAGCTAATGATATCCTCACCTCATGAAAATATTGAGATTTCATTTGCTACAACATCTCACAGCAAATTAAGCAAATACATAAATGTCATTTAACTTATTTTACAATAACTCCATAAAATTATTTATTCATCAGATAAATTACTTTACGTACAGCAGCAATGGAAGCAAAACAGAGCTTAAAAATCTTTCGATTATTTCCATGTTTTCTGCAATAGGAACATGTAATAAGCTTCAAATAATCATCTTATTGTGTTATCGTTTGATGGAAAAATTAATTGTGACAAATAAACATACCTCTTCGTCTTATTCCACCTCAGATATTCTTTAACAAGATTCCATTTTAATCTTCTTGAGCCTTGTTAGAACATCTTTCATAAGTAGCCTCTCCTCAGACAAATCAGTTGTACATTCTAGCGCTAGTCCCATGACCGATTTGAAGCAGCTCTCTTTGGCTCGAATATTGTTGTCAATTGCATTTACTAGATCCACATCCACTATGTCCATTATTGTATCTGGAAATGATTCAAACACCCATCTCCTCATGGTGAACTCTCCAACAAACATATCATCTGTTGGCTTCTTCTTGGTAAATGTTTCCATCAGCACGATCCCATAACTATAAACATCTGCCATAGGTGATATTATTCCTGCCAATCCATACTCTAAAAAATTGGCATATATGATAAAATTAGCATGTGAAATAGTAAATGACATATTAATAGACAATTCGATTAACATTTATGAATAATTATGTATATATTATTTAATCAATACATAAACAGTTGACAAAACCATTTACCTGGAGCCATATATCCAATGGTGCCCAATGTCTTGCTCATCGAAATTCTCTGGTCTTCAGAGAAAAGCTTGGCAATGCCAAAGTCTGCAACATGGGCAACCATATCTTCATCTAAAAGTATGTTGTTGGGCTTCAAATCACAATGGACAATTGGAGAGGGATACCCATGATGTAGATACTCCAGTGCACATGCCACGTCTATCATTATTTCCAACCTTTGAGCTATATTCAAGAAATAGTTGCTCGAGGACAGCCATTTGGTAAGGTTTCCATTCGGCATATATTCCAACACCAAGGCTTTAAGATCAAGATTAGAGCAGCTAGTAATTACCTTGATAAGATTTCTATGACGAATTTTGCCTAGTATTTGGCACTCTGTATCAAAAATCCTGTTTGCACCTTCCAAATCTATATTAAAAACCTTAATAGCAGCGATCATACCATCTGAAAATATACCCTTGTACACTGAACCAATACTACCTTTGCCAATTAGATTCTCTTCACCAAATTTATTCGTGGCGTTTAGAACTTCGTCATATGAAATCCTCTTGATAGTGGTAGGGGAAGTAGACTGAGCTGCAAGAAGTGCATTTCTGCTACGACATCTTATTAAATAAACTACACTAATGGCGAGACACAATACCGCAGCAATTGATGGCAAAATGTACTTCAAAACTCTATTCTCGATAGATAATCTAGTTCTATTATATTTGCATGGCTTGACCTTAAATTGAGATGCTCCACAAAATTCTCTATTGTTTATAAAAAATTCTGATGTAAAGTTCTTAAAAGGCCCTCCATTTGGAATTTCACCACTAAGTTCATTGAACAACGCGTTAAAATACTCAAGATTTTTAAGTGTCTCCAATGTCTTGGGATTACACCAGATAGATTGTTTTGGGATATATCCAAGTATTCCAATGCAATCAAATTAGCAAATGAATCTGGTATATGACCGTTTAACTTATTGTTTGATAATATCAAAGTTTCCAAAGTAACCCAAAAGTAGTCGAAATTTCACCTGACAATTGATTTCCTAATAAATGCAAGTCTAGCATGGTGTTTATACTTCCAATTTCTGGAGGCACAGAACCAATGAACATATTATATGACAACTCAACAATTCTGAGGTACTTGTTAGTCCATAACTCTGATTGTATAGTTGAAGTCAGCTTGTCGTAATCTAAAAAAATTTCTCGTAATGAAGTAAGCTTTCCAAAGCAACTCGACAGCTGTTCAGAGAGCTTATTTTCTCTCAAATTTAGATGGTACAAATTTTCAATATTGAAAAAGTTGGCAGGTATTGGTCCCATTAGTTCATTTCTTCCAATTAAGAGGCTTTGTACTCTCATTAATTGCCCTAGTGCATCAGGAACTGTTCCTATTAAGTCATTGCCTATCAATTCCAACAAGATTAAGTTGTTGAAATTACCAATTTCATTTGGAATCAGGCCTTTGAGACCACAATTATTAGGAACGAAGATTTCAAGAGATGCCGACAAATTACCTAAGCCAAGGGATTTTGGAAGTATTCCAATAAAAGAGTTGTTTGAAAAAATTATCCTCTTCAAGTGTCTGCAGTTACTCAAAGGAGCAAGAAAACCCAGTTCCCGCATTGACGGATCGTTTGTCAACTGATTATCTTGAAAGTTTAGAAATTGGAGTTCTTGAAAATTCCCAAGAGCATGGGTACAGGTCCACTCAATGAGTTGTCACCAAGATCCAAAAGGGCCAATTTAGAATTATTTAAAATAGAGCTTGGAATTTCTCCACTTAATCGATTATTATTAAGAAAGAGAATTTGA